AAAGATAAAGTTTAAAAGTCAAGAAGTCAAGGAACGAAGAAGGCAGGAAATGAAAGTGAAAAGTTCAAGATAGACAAAGAAACTTTCTTCTTTCGAGATGCTTCGAAAGTTGAAGAATTTATAACTTGTAAATAACGACGATAGTAAGTAACCGGAACCAGATCTTATTGTGACATGATCGGTAGTCTTGCCGGCAGAAAAGCTACGGAAGCCATGAATTGTGGGATATGCTCAGTTTGGTTTGGCGAAACCAAAAGGATTTTTGACCATCTTTGATTTATTATCATGCGAATCGAATTTTTGGAGGTAGTATTTGCAGAGAAAAGTATTTGCATGAGTAAACATGCCGCGGGTAGTAAACTCTGTAAACACTTGGCAACACGAAAGAGTTAAATGGGTCAAAGAAATTTCCATGTCTTTCGGAGATGGCAATTTCCCTCTCCGGGCAGCGAGTTTTGAACTTCTTGATTCATTTATTAACTTTCTCGGCGCATAGATCTCAGCCGTGTTTTCTTACATTCGAAGAGAAATTGCGTTTAATCTGAAGTTTCTTTCAAGCTCGCGCACTGAAGACGTAGAACATCGGATAAAAATTGTATAAAGAAGATAAAATACTTACTATCAGCTGTATAAGTAAACATTGTCTGTAGAAATTTCTAGAATTTTACTTATTAAAGTTATCGTTTTTTTTTTTTTTTTTTTAATACCAAAATTAACTTCTAACTTCATTCTTTGCCACGTTTATAATTATGACACTTGAATTTCCGGATATCTAGTTAAAAGTCTCGAAGGTAAATTCTCCAAAATAGTAAAACAATCTGCAAAATGTTAATATACTATTAATAATAATTATGTTATAAAATACACGTGTAATTGGAAGATTTTATCATCATTATTGGATATTAAAAACAAAGAGCATCTGGAAGAATTAAAAGCGCAGAGATTACTCTTTGTAGAACATAAAAAGAAGCTAACATCTTAAATTCATAGCTACGATGAAAATGAATGAACTGAACGTGGCAGACAAATGAATATCTTTCGAGCTGTCAACTCTTCGTGAAAATCGTATTCTACACAAGAAATTGTCAAAAAAAAAAAAAAAAAAAAAATCAAAAGTTTTACTGGATCGTGCAACTGCGATATCCAGCTAAAATTATATTCGCGTGACGTAGACTTCCGTTGTTCGAGCGCGTTGGTCTCCGTGGCAGATAAAGATCGCGCACCTACCCATGACCACGAAAGACGGAATGAAAGATAGCGGTACTGCTTACGGAGGGTTATTGTGCGTTCATCGGTTACGGCTCATCGGTTGTCGCAACTTTTATCTTTGCTCGGGAGGAGGATCGAAGGTCCCAAGGCGCCAATTCGGTTCTGTTCCGCCTTCCGCCTCATGTTTCCCGGCTTCTTTCACGTTGTTTGTGCTCGTCGCTTCTATTCGGATGCGGCTCCTGATTGTTGTAAATCTTCAAATTACCAATAAATACCACAAATTGGTCGGGCCTGTGCTCCTAGACAGGTAAACCGAGTCTCTACACCCTGGTGGCTCGTAGAAATTGTCAGGTTTCTTTTTAAATCATATTTTCTAAATTCTCCCTGTTTTCGCGATGTCCCTTTAAATTTTGCCAAAAGCTT